GGAACACAGTAATACAAACATCCTGTCTCCATCACTTCCCACTCTGTGGAGTCAAAACATACATCATCATGTGAAAGACAACAATCCCATGACTGCAATCATGGAACAGGAATTCTAACACAATGATCCTGGGTCGTTTCCCACTGAGAGCTCTAAAGTGCATCCCCACTGGGTCAGAAGTCAGCACCTATTACAAAGGAAAAATGGGTCACCTAATGCCATGGTTCTCCAACCTGACCCAAGCTAAGTCACTGTGGTCCCATATAGGTGCATTGGGTGTTAGGGGATGGGGTACACACCATGCTCCTTCTGGGGTGGTTTGTCCATGTTTGGTCCCCATCCTGAACTCAACTCTCACCTGTGGCTCCTAGAAGCTGTCAGCATGCAACAGCAGCCACACCCTGGGAATGGCTTTGACTGGCTGGCTAAACCAAGTGAGAGTAGCCAGTGGGTCTCAAACCCTCGGTGAGTTAGGGATTTTCCCTGCATGCAAAGACAGTCTCTAGGACAGGCATAGGCAAACTCCGACCCTCCAGATGTTTGGGACTACAATTCCCATCATCCCTAGCTAACAGGACCAGTGGTCAGGGATGATGGGAATTGTAGTCCCAAACATCTGGAGGGCTGGAGTTTGCCTATGCCTGCTCTAGGACGAGCTCTAGGACTGGTCAAGAAGGCAATTTCCTGTACATGCTGTAGGGGGAAGTGAGGGGCAGATGGGGCTTGTCAACCTGGGAAGGTAGCCCATCTAGCAGAAGGAAAATTCTGGTCCTAAACCTCTGCTGCTTTGTGGGATATTTTCGGGAGAAGAAAAAGCTAAGGAGTAAACTGCACAAATCCAGAGTCCCTAAGATGGCTGGATGGTGCCTTGTATGTCTCCTTCTGCCAACTCCTGCAGCCAAACATATTGTCCTGCGTTCTTTTGGGACCACATCAGTGGGCTTAAACACCCTTAACTCTTTGCAGGATCGGATCATATCCATTCAGAGTGGGGGAGGCCCTTTAATTAACACACCTTAAATGCTGTCAGTCAAAGAAAAACAAAGCTGTTGGGACAGGAGAGGGATTTCCTGTCCCCGGGCTGTCAATAATTAATACATTATTTACACTATCACACTCCTGCTTACCAACTTTCAAGATTCCATTTACACTCTGATCCTTCGCTCAGTAGCCAATTTAACGTCAGGCTGACCTTTTCTTGCTTATCAGATATGAAAAGAATATCATCAAATATGTGCATTTATTATGGCAACTATATTCAGAGCTATTTTCTTTTTTAAAGGCATTTTAAAAGAATATTTTTAAAAGAATCTATTAACAGCTAGCAACTCCATACCCTTCAACATTTCTCGGGTGAAAATAGGGACGTCCTATTCAAAACTAGTAGTAGTAATAATAATACGAAATTTATTAATTAAACCCCACCAATCTGGCTGGGATGCCCCAGCTATTCTGGGAAGCTTCCAACATATTAAAAAAATCATTTTTTAAAAGAAAAACTTCCCTATGCAGGGCTGCCTTCAGATGTCTTCCAAAGATTATATGCAGTGGTACATCTGGTTGCGAACAGGATCCATTCTCGAGGCCCGTTCGCAACATGAAAAGAATGCAACCCACAGCCGTGCATCTGCGCATGCGTTGGTTGTGATTCACCACTTCTGTGCATGCACAGAAGTAACCCTTTCCGGTACTTCCAGGTCGCCACAGGACGTAACCTGAAAGAACGTAACATGAAGCGGACGTAACATGACATATGACTGTAGTTACTTATCTCCTCGGCTCAGGAGTCAAGTAATTCCACACCCTCCAACATTTCTCTGAGAAAAATAGGGATGTCCCAAGGAAAAGCAGGGCATTCTGGGATCAAATCAGAAACCAGGATGGCTTCTGTAAATCCAGGACTGTCCCTGGAATATAGGGGCACTTGGAAGGATTGCAACTCTGCATTGCTGTGTTGGAGACAACAGTGTTTACACAACACACAAAGCTCCGATAAAGAAAAAGAGTCTTGCTTATTAAATCCCAAAGGAACTGGCAGTGAGTTCAGAGCCGCCATACCACTAAACCAGTTATACAGCAGGAAATCTGATGAAATAATCCCAAACACACTTCACTCGAAGCTGAAGCACATTAAAAATGTTTGAAATATCTATTTCATCAGACTCCAAATTAGTTACGGACTCCCAGAAGAAACATCACTGCATGTTTATAAGATGCCACAGAGATGTCATTTCATACAAAGTGTTCAATAAGGTCTGCGTCTCTCCCTCCCTCTCTCTCTCTGTGTAAAAGTTGTGTATCATTATGATGGCATCTAAAACATCAGAGCAGATGTAGGACCTGGGACCGCATGTGTTGTGAGGCTCCAATGCTCACTGACCCTTGCCAGCATGACCAATGGCCAGGGATGATGGGCATTGTAGCTCATCTGACATTCCTCTAGAGCAATGATGGCCAAACTTGCCCTCCAGCTGTTTTGGGACTACAACTCCCATCATCCCTAGCTAACAGGACCTATGGTCAGGGATCATGGGAATTATAGTCCCAAAACAGCTGGAGGGCCACGTTTGGCCATCACTGCTCTATAGCAACGACTGACATGGTAAGAATTCAGAAGAGAGATGGCTAACAGGAAACGAGGCCTGAGACTTTTCAGAGATTTGCACTGGGAGTCTACTAGTAGTAACTAAACGGCATATACACATACATAGTAAAGGTAAAGGTACACCTGACCATTAGGTCCAGTCGTGGCCAACTCTGGGGCTGCGGCGCTCATCTCGCTCTATAGGCCGAGGGAGCTGGCATACAGCTTCTGGGTCATGTGGACAGCATGACTAAGCCACTTCTGGCGAACCAGAGCAGCACACGGAAATGCCGTTTACCTTCCTGCCGGAGCGGTACCTATTTATCTACTTGCACTTTGGCACGCTTTCAAACTGCTAAGTTGGCAGGAGCACGGACTGAGCAACGGGAGCTCACCCCGTCACAGGGATTCGAACCGCCAACCTTCTGATTGGCAAGTCCTAGGCTCTGTGGTTTAACCCACAGCGCCACCCGCGTCCCTATACACATACATACATATAGTTGAATTTAAGTAGTGCAGACCAGAAAAATCAATTGCTACTTGATAGTATAAATACGCCCTTAGGTTGCCGTGGGGGTCCCTTCTGAATAGACATGTATTCAGAAATATGTCCTACTGACTTGTGAATGTTTGTGGGTGAGCAGATTTACCAATTTTAACCTCCGAACGTTGTTTAAAAAGATTCACCGGAAAGGAGGAGCAAGGACAATTAGAGCTAACAGGATGTGGCTGACTTCCCCTGATAAATATAATGTCGTTGGGAGTGACTGTCTTTCTAGTTTTTTGTTTTGCCATGCTCTCCATGGCAGCCATTTTGTGTTATGCAATATACACACAACCCTCCCCAGCAAATATTTTGTGAGTGGCGCTCTCCACAAATTTGAAATGTACCCTGTGGTCAGAAAAGATTGGCAGATCCTCTTTTGAGTATATGGAATATCAACAAAATATATATTTTTATATAGTTCAATTTGTAGTATTTAATGGTGATATATTACCTAGCAACTCTGAACGATGATTCATTAGTTACGTGAATAGTTTGCCCGTCTGGTGAATCAGCATTTGTGGTTATTAATGAATGTATTTGCCTTATCCAACCTCCTTTAATGGAATTCAGAATGAATATCTTGCCCGTCTCGAGGAATTACGAATCAACATAGTATCAAATAAACATTATTTACATCTACTAAAATTAAGAGCAGAAATTATCGAACATTAGCATAATTCAAACAAAATTCCCCTATTACAATAATTAATGACTCATTTAATACTACTTGAATGACTTCTTTGCTTTCATTTTGGCAAACTTATTATTAGCATGTTTACTCAAAAGTAAGTCCCACTGAGTTCAATGGGGCTCACTCCTGGGTAAGTATTTATAAGGGTTGCAGACTTTAAAAAGGGTAAAAAAATATTCACCTAGTGAGTTCTCTTTCCGTGGACAGCCTTATAAAGTGAATAAGCCCACATCCTAAACCATGGGTAGGCAAACTAAGGCCCGGGGTCCGGATCTGGGCCAATCGCCTTCTAAATCTGGCCCATGAACGGTCTGGGAATCAGCGTGTTTTTACATGAGTAGAATGTGTCCTTTTATTAAAAATGCATCTCTGGGTTACTTGTGAGACATAGGAGTTCATTTATTTTTCCCCCTTCAAAATATAATCGGGCCCCCCACAAGGTCTGAGGGACAATGGACAGGCCCCCTGCTGAAAAAAATTGCTGACCCCTGTCCTAAACACACTTACTAGGAAGTAAGCACTATTGGACACAGTGGGATTTACTGGGATGCGGGTGGTGCTGTGGGTTAAACCACAGAGCCTAGGGCTTGCCGATCAGAAGGTCGGTGGTTCGAATCCCTGCGACAGGGTGAGCTCCTGTTGCTCCTGCTCCTGCCAACCTAGCAGTTCAAAAGCACGTTGAAGTGCAAGTAGATAAATAGGTACCGCTCCGGCGGGAAGGTAAATGGCGTTTCCGTGCGCTGCTCTGGTTTGCCAGAAGCGGCTTAGTCATGCTGGCCACATGACCCAGAAGCTGTACGCCGGCTCCCTCAACCAATAAAGCGAGATGAGTGCCGCAACCTCAGAGTCAGCCATGACTGGACCTAATGGTCAGGGGTCCCATTACCTTTACCTTATGAATGTGGGAAGACAAAATGACACAGCCAAATCAGTGGAAAGGAAAGAGAAGAACTTTTCTGGGAGGAAAATAATTGCAGTCTGCTTCCTCCTGCTTCTTGATGTTAGTCCACAAACACCTCAACTTGGGCTTTTGTCTTTCTAACTACCAGCTACTGGAGTCCCCACCCACCCATTTGTCCTCTGGCACAGAGCCCATTCCTTTGCTCCCTTAACAACCCATACTTAGGCTATTACCGGTACTTCACCGGGAACCTGGGCTGGCTATTTTAGCAACTGAATTCCTGTTAGAAAGCTCAGTTGGTAGAGCATGAGACTCTTAATCTCAAGGTTGTGGGTTCAAGCCCCACACTGGGCAAAAGATTCCTACTTTGCAGCGGGTTGGACTAGATAACCCCCTATAGTCCCTTCCAACTCTACAACTCTATGATTCAGGAATTAGAAAGGATTCAGACATACAGCCTAACTGTTGCCCCCCTGCCAAATACTCACAACACTATACAGTCGTTACATATGCTTCATGTTACAGACTCCGCTAACCCAGAAATAGTACCTCGGGTTAAGAACTTTGCTTCAGGATGAGAACAAGAAATCGTGCTCCGGCAGCACGGTGGCAGCAGGAGGCCCCATTAGCTAAAGTGGTGCTTCAGGTTAAGAACAGTTTCAGTTTAAGAACGGACCTCCGGAACAAATTAAGTTCTTAACCCGAGGTACCACTGTATAGCACACTAAGAAAAAATACGCTGAAGATCTGAATGGGTATGTTTTTAGATGGGAAAGAATGGGTTATTTCTGGAAGGAGACAAGAGGTGAATGTTCGTGGTTTTACTGGGAGAGTGACTGATTGCTTTGACTACTACAGAACAGGTTTGCTGATACTTTAATAGGAGCCTATTATGGCAAGCTCCCGTTTTCAGACACATTTTCTGCAGCTGGTACATGCAAGTATCGGCAGCCCCCAAAAGGAAACCTCGATGTTTCAAAACTGGATTGGGCCTCAGAACCACCAGCCCTCCTTAACACTTGTTGCCGATATGTTTGCAGAAGACAGCCTCAAAGTAACAGCCTGTGATTTGTCACCTTTTCTTTCTAGCGGGACCATTAAGTTCTGATGATAACCTTTCTTCTCAGCTGACAGGCTGTGGCAGTTTTGTCAGACTAAATGTTATGCACAAATAAGTCGCTAATGACAGATCTAAAGAGGCCAGAGCAGTCCAAGTTCTTTCATTCTCTCTGATATTTGCATAATGTATGAATTCAAACATTATTGCTGTTAAATAATGCACAAATATTCTCCCATGCTGCAATACATACTCTTTCCTCTTCATGGATCATTTTGAGTGTATCATTCAATTGGGTTGTGGGTGTGCGTGGGTGTAGGGGTTTTTTTACCCACTATTTAAAAATGTTACAACTCCACATTGATAACCATTTGGCTGGGAGAGGTCTCATCACCCCGAAGCTGGCTAACTCTCCAAACTGTAAATGATGTATACATTATTAAATGAGCCGTGTTGCCCTCTTTTCAGAATGCATTACCATCAAAATGCAAAACTTAGCATTCCAAAAATGTCAGTATGGGATGCAGGTTCATCCCAGAACACTTCATTATTGGCCAAGGCTCGGTCGGAGAGAATCTAACGTTTTCATAGCCAAAGAAACTTCCCCACATACCAATATTGGGGGGGCTGCTTTGTGTTTACACAAATACATTCTTCTGAAGGCTGGTGCAACGAGTCCACATCAGAAGCAGTGGGCATCACCCGCTTCCTACTGACCCGAACATTGATTGCCTCTCCCGTCATTACTGTTTTCTTATTCTGTTTTCTCCCATTTAAAATATATCCCAATTAAGAGTGAATAGTCCGGACCATTTCCATAGCGAAGCTAGAAAACGGGTCCCTGTGGCAGCACGACAGCAGTTCATGGCACACAAATTATACAGACGCAATTCTGCACAGCTGAGCTTCCAGCCAAAGAGGCTGGGAAGGGGCCACAGCTCAGAGACAGAGCACACACACTGCATGCTAAATTCCAAGGTTCGACCCCTCAGCGTCTCCAAGTACGGTTGGGAAGGAGGGTCTCTGCCAAATAGTGTTGACAGTACTCAGCTGGTTGGACCAATGGTGTGACTCAGTATAAGGAAGTTCCTAGATGGGGGGAATGGAGTGAAATTAGTGAGGGCTTACCTCTTGGAATTCCGCTACCATGTCCCAAAACAGAGTGAGTCAACATACTCTGGGAGAGTTTACCCCACCATTTTTGTTTCCCACAAGTTGCCATTGTGCCCAGTGAAAACCTCCCAGACATGGTTTAAGCTAGAAGCAACCCAATGAAAATGGGTTGCTCATTTTCTGATAAAACCCTTAAGGCAGCGGTTCTCAACCTGTGGGTCCCCAGGTGTTGTTGGACTACAACTCCCATCATCCCTGAGCTCTGGCCTTGCTAGCTAGGGATGGTGGGAGTTGTAGTCCAACGACATCTGGGGACCCACAGGTTGAGAACCGCTGCCTTAAGGGTTGGCTAGTACTCTAATGTCAGGACTCAAGCCAGCTGTGAGGCATGAGCAGGTAATTGGAGGGTTCTCCGCCTGCGCATCATTACCCAACTCAAAAGAGAGAAACCAGTCGTATCACACCAGCCAAGGAAGCCTCCTCTCAACAATAGGTAACAGTGGGTCAGTTGGTACATTTCTGATCTCTCTAAAATGTATTTAGGTCAGGAACATTTACAGTGGTACCTTGGTATTCAAATGCCTTGGTTCCCAAATGCCGAAAACCCGGAAGTGTTCCGATTTTTAAACATTTTTTGGAAGCCAAACGTCTGGTGCGGCTGTCGGCTATTGTTTCCAGGGCGCCTGCACCAATCAGAAGCTGCGCCTTGGTTTTCAAACATTTCAGAAGTCAAACGGACTTCCGGAACGGATTAAGTTTGGTGCTTTTATTTTTGCTATTTATTTTGCCTTTTTGTTTTTGAGGCTTTTTCGGTTAATTTGTTTTTGTGACTGTGTGGAACCCAGTTCAGCTACTGATTGATTGACTGATTGTGTGACTGCGGAAATGGATAAAAGTCCCCAATTCAAACAATAACTATCATCAGTGCAGGTAAGAATTTGTTTTTTTAATCATCTACAATAATGCCTTATTTATTTTATAGTGCAGTACATTGATTGCTTTCATTTTATGGATCAGTGGTCTTGTTAGATAGTAAGATTCATGTTAAATTGCTGTTTTAGGGTTGTTTTTAAAAGTCTGGATTGGATTAATCCATTTTGCATTACTTTCTATGGGAAAGAGCGCCTTGGTTTTGGAACACCTTGGTTTTGGAACAGACTTCTGGAACGGATTAAGTTTGAGAACCAAGGTACCACTTTACTGGTCTGGAACAGAGGTGGTCTTGTTGGCTGCAGAAAACCACCACATTTGTCATAATGAATATATTAGCCTGCTGGAAGGAAAAGGGAGCAGACCCATAAGGCCACACTTTCCTTCTTTCTCCGTTCATGGCAAAGCCAACAAGGTGATAGTCGACAGCCTTGGAAATTATCAGCCTTCACTAGTAAGCCCATAATACTATAGACGTAATACACATTTTTGTATAGAGTGGTACCTTGGTTTACGAATTTAATCCATTGCGGAAGTCCGTTCCTAAACCAAAGCGTTCTTAAACCAAGGCATGCTTTCCCATAGCAGTGGGGGGACTCAGTTTACAAACAGAACACACTCAACAGGAAGCAGAACATCTTCTGCTTCCAAGGCAAAGTTCACAAACCAAAACACCTACTTCTGGGTTTGCAGCATTCTTAATCCAAGTTGTTTATAAACTAAGCTGTTCTTAAACTAAGGTACCACTGTATTATGATCTTTTTGAATCAACTGTTCTGAATGCCTCGTCTTTATGGGGCTTGCAGTACTTCCAAGCTGAAACAATTTCCCTTTATAACCGCAGGCGTTCAAGATTTAAATATTAACTTCATCCTCTGCCTTTCTCTCTCTCTCTACAAAGCATCCTCTTCGCCTGGGTCACATGAGTGCCTTGCCCTTTGAATTATTTTTTACTTACCGTGTAGCTACAACTAAATTTTGCATTCAGATCCAAAGTCGCCGGATTCTCAAGCTTAAGTCAATTTTCTATTTGCTTTGGATATGAAATAATAAAGTCTCCGGCGCACATCATCTTTATGATTTGCCATTCTAATGCTAAAAGGTGCCTTTTCTATTTGCACTCCTAAGGTTACTTTCCCTATATACACTCTCGCTCATATACATGCATGTAGAGAGAGCCCATTTACTCTGTCAAATGGATTTTCTGTCATTTCCCTTCCCTCTCTCCTACTTACTGTTGTTGATAGCAAAGCGAATACGTTTCTGAAAACCTAATAAACTGATACGACGGTGAGAAAGGCCGCGTTCCCCCCACCTTGCATAAAGTGATTCTGCATATCCTGCAGAACGTTCCGAAATGGATCAGATCTACCTTAAACAGTCAATTGCGAATTGTATGTGCTTCAAATTGTATATAGTTGGGGAAATCAGCAAAGCAAAATGGACTGTGAGAATTTGTTGGGTATGTAGTAGTGTGTTTTCTGGGGTGGGGGGGAAGAAATCCTCTGGTAAACAAACACAGGCTACATGGCAAATTAAATTATACAATTTAAAACAGCAAAATGGCTGCCGGGGTGCATGTTTTTATAGTCTCAAATATATATTTGCAAACTGAAATACTGTCTCCTTTAGACAGTATTATGTAGTTCAGCTACGTAACTTTTTAAAATATATGCATTTTTATTTCAAATGCAGTAAAAAGGCTACAGACAAACTGAATTTAAAGCACTACATAACTTTAAATGGGGGAGGTTAAAAAAAATTGGCATGAGAGCAGCAATCACTCTAGGTCAGGGGTGGGGAAAAATTTCGCCTAGCAGGCTAGATCTTCATCTCCCCGCACCCCTGTTGGCCAGCTTGGACAAGTGGTCAGAGCCATCCATGGTTCCATCATTTGGCACCATAATTGCCTGCAGAACATCCCAGGTTCAATTCCTTACATCTCTCGTAACATACCTGTAATGAGTATGAGTTACTCGTGCGTAAACTGGTGCCTCTCTAGGCTAATTTGCCTTGTTAAACCTTTCTGACTGCACAGCCCTTTCTCATCGTGACTGCCTCAGTCGCTGGCAGAATCCGTCAGTGGGTGTTTCTTGAACCTCTTCCAACATAAAAGTTGTTTGACACCCAGTCTCCTCCTCCTCTCACTGCGCGGGAGTCTTCTGCGCAGGGAGGGCATGGGTAGCGGAGGACCTGTCCCCTCCTTACTGAGTTCCAGTGAAGAGTCCTGGAGCCCTCTCTCCGATTCCCCCATCT